GAGAGAGAGAGAGAGAGAGAGAGAGAGAGAGAGAGAGAGAGTAACATACCAAGAAAAGGACGATAGATGTTTGCTACCAACACGACACAAAGGCACACAATACACCAATAAGACAGCTCACCTTCTTGTAGACCAAGTAAGGCACAAAATACACCAATAAAAAGACAGCTCACCTTCTTGTAGACCAAGTGGTTGGGGTTGTCTTCGTGTGTGTGTTGCCCATTCCCGACGGGGCCGGCGACAGAGCCCTGCAGCGAGTCCAGCCGGCGGTTGCCGCTGTGTCTCTGTGCCATTTTACGACGGAACTCCTCAATGGTCAACTCGTTACGATCCTCCTTGGCAAAGGGCAGCTCAGCTGGTAAACTAACCCCCTTTCTCACACTCCTCTCAGGGCGTCGTCGGTCGTGACCGAAGTGGTACCGGTCGTGGCTGGTATTGTTGTTGTTGTTGTAGTATTAGTAGTAGCCGTGGTAGTTGTTGTTGTTGAAGTAGGTAGGCAACCGGTTGGCTGTCCTATCCAAAACAACGGCTGCTGGTTTGTTGTTGTTGTTGTTGTTGCTGTTGTTGTTGTTGTTGTTGTCGTGGCGGTGGTGGTAGCGGTGGTGGTGGTGGTGGTAACTCCTCTCCTACGGGAGGTTGGGGTTCCACCACCGTGAAGGAAGACAGCGGCAGCAGCAGTTGAAGCAGCACTGGCACCAGTAATACGCGTTGTGAACAGTGTGGCGGAAAAGGAGACAGGAGAGAGGGAGAGAGAAAGAAAGAGAGAAAGATAGAGAGAAAGAGAGAACTCGTCGGTTTGTGAGGCAGCTACTGCATGCTACTTCACAGTGAAAAAACTAGGATAAAGTGTTTCCTTTAGGTTGGTCGTACAAGTCGAGGGATGATCAGGGAGGGGTGGTGCTTGGTCGTCGATGTCCACATTCTGAAGTTTGACTACAATACACACGCAAACATGAGAATGATGGTAATGATTATTACTTTTATGACCAAGAATTCAAGACGGAAGACTGTTCCAGGGAATTCCTCCAGGAAGATATATATTCACAGGTGCAGTGAAGCAATAAATGACGAAAGCTCACTCACACTTGATAGAAAGGTCTCAATTTTGAGTTCACTGTTATGGTGGTGTCAGGGGGTAAAATCTGACTCGCAATTCATCAGCCTAGACTGAATGAGTAATAAACAAACACAACAAATAATCCCGTTGTTCCACATTCACAACTTTGAATAAGACATACTAAAGACAACGCTCCATTAATAAACACCGTAAGTAACACTGCTATTACTTTACTCTTTGCTATTGCATTTTTATCATCTGTTGCTGTTTAGCGTCGATGGGAGATAGGCAGTTTTCTATGGTAGGCCAACTGCCATTTATACCCTCATACGGGAAAGAGTGAACTTTTAATAATATTATAATCGACCACCTATCTTTTTATCTTTCGTTCTTCTCGTTCCTGACATTATGATGGTAAATTTATATTGCCATGCACTTTTTTAAAACACCAACAGCAAGACACACAAACAAACACACACATTATACCCATTACCTATGGTCTTTCGTATTATGCATCAATTTGCACTTCGTTTAAGACCTGCAGCTTTCAGCAATACTGTTAGTTGAGACAGAGATCAATGAAATATTAAAGCTAAAGCTTTATAACTTAATGTCACACATCACAGTTGAGTTGGCCAGCTCATCAAATATTGACCACTGACCATGACTAGCCACATAATTTCCGATGCTGGTAAAGGCTACGCACCATTATCGAATGTATCTTCAAACAATGGGATCTTTACACTAATAACCAAGCAAACACGACGAGCTTAGAACCCTAATGTCGGAGACTACAGCTGTATTAAATTCTATAACTGCTTCAACTTCGAGCATTCACCAATATATGACAGTCTGACCAAAGTTTAAGGGGAACAAGAAGGCTCGTGCGTCAGATCCCGTTTTGATACCGAAGGACCAAGTTCAAGAAAATTCAACTGTTGCCTTTCAAATCATACACATTTACTTTTCAAGGTCGCGAGTCGAATCGGCCATTTTGTGCCAAAACGGTAGAATGGAAGCTTTTGCCCCTCCATGAAGTAAAATCTGGCCGGCGCCGACAGAATCAAATTGGCAGTGTGCGGTGGGTATAATTCTCACAGCTCCATCACAAAAGAGAGGGAACTTCGCCCGTCTTCTTTTTCATGGTCTTCTGCAGCATTTGAAAAGATGACCCCCACCCCCCGATAGGAAGTGTTAAAAATAGCAAGAACCCTAACAACAAATAAACAAAAAATCTTCTCACACCATTTCAAGCCCATTCCTCCTCAACAGAGCAACACGACCTTTCATTTCTCTTTTCACCCATGGTCCTCCTGTCGCAGACTTTTTCAGCCAGCAACGTTCACTTTCTGAGTGAGCAAATTTCAAGCATCTCCCTGGTGGTGGACCTTTGTGATCAACAGAAGCCTCCCTCTTCACCCCATAACCCACCCCAAGCCCTCCGGCACAGGTATACAGGGACACAAAAGGACAAAGTGCGCGTTGAATCAGCCTACGTCATGACCCAGCGATCTCTCGGGCAACAGATCAATAAACAGACCAAATACATTATGTCGTTCTTGAGCCACTTAATTTGTGAGGCAGCGTGGTGGAATCAGGCTCTCGTCAAAATAATCAAAGTGAAGAAACTTGCATTTTTCCGCAGGTTTGTGAATTTTTGTCAAATTTTCGTTTTTTGGCTCAACACCTTTCATGCCCATTAAAGAACTCATTTCTATGTGGATTTTTTTTTTTTAAACGCTGATTAAAGGTACAATAAATGTAAACTTTCAGTTGCCACGGACTCTTAAGCTAAGGAAATAACTAATCTTTGGCGGCCATTTTCTCACTAATT